TGGGATTGAACTCAGGTCTTTGTGTTTAGGAGGCAGGCAGTGGCCCCACATTTGCAATTGTGAAGCTTCAAAGGGTGAAGTCCTGCTACTTCTTCTGAAGCCCTCAGGCCACCTTTTCTATTTTTGTTCCTTCTTAGCAATCAAGATCTCCTCTGTTCTGTCTTTGTACTCCACATCTTTACTGGAGCTTCCTTTCTGGCCAAACTCAAAACATTTAAAATCATTCTGCTGGCCTCTTTGCTCTTAATTCTCAACATAAATCTGGCTAAAAGCCCCCAACAGTAGCCATGTCATCACCTCAACATTAGAATGCCTTGAAAATTTCTTCTGCCAGATTATTTAGTCTGCTGCCCTTAATCTCAGTCTCAGGCAAAGTCTCTGGATGCAAGCAAAATGCAGACAAACTTTCTGCCAAGTCATATAACACACGTTGTCTTGAGTTCAGCAGCCAATACAGTCCTTCTTCCCAGCAGAAAACTCCAGAGCCTGGTCTTTATTGGCTTTCTGGTCTTCTGAGCTCTGACCAGAATCTCCCATCCTGAACAGCCTAAGGCGTTCCAGTTTTACTTCTTCAGACAGTATCTCTGAATCTTTCCTAACCCTTCCCCTCCCCACAAGCCAGTTTCACATGCTCACTTCGGCAGCACATACACCACAAACCAGTTCCAAAGACTCTTGAGCCATATGGCCAGGTGATGTCACAGCAACAACCCCACTTCTCAGGTGCCAATTCTCTCTTACTTACGTTTCTCTTGTTTCTGAGATAAAATACCTGACACCCAAAGTAAAAGGGGAAGGTTTATTTGGCTTACAGTTTGTACAGGTTTCAGTCCATAATCGGCTGGCTCCAAGGCAGGGTGGCAACAATTCATGGCACAGAAGATAGCAAAAGCAACAAGAGACCTTAACAGCATCTTTTTGGCCCTTTTACCTTATTCAGACTACTATCATGGGCAGTACTCAAGCCCTTAATCCTAGTGCTCTTGAGCCTAGCCCTACCATGAATCAATCACACACTCTAGATTCAGCCACCTCTGAAAAAGTGTGAGGCTTTTGGGGACATCTAAACACAAGCCATAATACCCAGGTTGGACTTGAAGTCATGATCTTCCTGCCTCAGGCTCCCAAGTGCTAGAATTACAGGCACATACCACTATGCCTGGCCTTATATTCCTATTTTCTGTAAGTTTTCAAATTCTGGTATGTATTTAAAGCACATCTCAATTTAAACAGCAGATATCATTAGAAGATATCTGATATGTATTTTGATTGCATAAAATTTACATTTAAATGATTTGGTATCAGATTTTAAATTACATTTAAAGTAGATAAAATTAAATAAAATGAAAATTCAGATGCTCATAAGCTACATGTGACTGGCAGCTATCAACTACAATCATCTTGTAGGTTTTTACTTGTTACTATTTGTTTTCATTTTTCAAATTTTTTATTTTTTTGGTACTGGGGATCGAACTCGGGTCCTTGTGCTTGTGAGGCAGGCAGCGGAACCCCTAAGCTAAATCCCCAGCCTTCTTTTCATTTTTTAATAACTTATATGTGAAACCTGCATACTTTACCTTTGCCTTAGTTATGCCTCATATTCCACTGGCCAATATGATTTTTTGCCAGTGCCACAGTGATCACTGCAGCTTGGCAAAATGTTCATTATTTGAAAGCGACTGCAGATTCTTTTATTTCTATCCCCCCCGATTATTTTCTTGGTCATTCTTTCTTGATCTATATATGCTATAATTATTAAATAATTTTATTCATCAATGCAACACAAATGTGAATTTTATTTTTGTTGGTAAAATACAGAAATAGAATTAATTACTTTTTGGGGAGTACTAGGGATTATATCCAGGAATTTTGCACTGAGCTACATCCTTAGTCCTCTTTTTTTTTTTTATTTTGAGGCAGGGTCTCACTAAATTACTCAGGCTAGGCTTGAATTTGTGATCCTCCTGTCTCAGCCTTCCAGGGTGCTGGGATTATAGGCATGTACCACCATACCCAACTTAGAAACAGAATTGATATTTTTTTCTTTAGAAATACAGAATGTCTTTATTAAAATTAAATTCATCTCCTCACAAAATTAGAGGGATACACCTTATTTTGGGGGAGAAAGGTCATCATCTAGAAGCTAATTAAATGCCATACAGGATGCTGGGTCTCTGGCTCTCTGGGATCAAAATGCATTAGCAACTAAAGTCAAAATAATATACAACAAGTGAAACTCCTGTCAAAAAGGGCAAGTTAGGAAAATGTCAATAACTCTCGTTCTCAACCTCATCAGCTCACAAACAGAAGTGGGCTCATCAGTTTCCAGCATGACCAAGCAAGGGGTTTCTCCTTTCAAGGTACATAGGGGAGGAGGACGACTGATGGTTCACCATCACCATGGGAAATACAATCACATGGCTCCCATGCTAGCACGAGCTGGAAGAAGTGTATGTCTTGAACAACATAGTGTAATTTTTTTTTCCCCACTGCCTTTGTATTTAGCAACTTTACTAAATTTACTTAGTTTTATTATCTGTAGATTATTTTGAATTTTTACAAATACAATCACGAGTAATGATGATTTTTTTTTTTTCCTTTCCAGTTCTTATACTTTTCTTGTCTTACTGTATCAGTAAGAATCTCTATTAAATGTGACAGTGGGCATTTCTATCTGGTTCCCATTAACAATGCTATTGTTATATAGCTTCTTTACCAGACTGGTAATTGGTCTGGGATGTGAGTTGGACATCAAAAGCTCTAGGTACAGCTAAGACTTAAAGCTATACCCTCTGAGTACAATTTTAACTGCATCCCACAAGTTTTAAATATTTTCTTCATCATTTAGTTTTGGTCTTGCCCTTGGGGACCAGGGAGTCAGGCGTCACAATCTTGCTATTGACTGCATCTCACCTACAGCTTCAGTTTCTTCAGCTTTTAAAGGTGAATAACAACAATAACAATATTCACCTGTATGGTTTAGTGTGAGGACTACATGGAACAATGAGGCTGAAAGTAGTAGTTTTTTTTTTTTTTTTAAACAAACTCATGAACATAAGATACTGTTACAAGGAAAAACCTTGGTAAATAGGGATAGATAAATAAGTTTTTTTCAACTTTCCCTAGGTGCATTTTTCAATCCCACTCATAGGCATCAAGTTTTAAGAAACTTCTAAAGATTTTTATTTAATATATATTTTGCATTAACACCTGGTAATTATACTATAATTACTATTATCACATTTCACTATAATTATATTTATGAAGTACAAATGACATTTCAATACATGTATGCAATGTGTACTGTGCACAGCACCTCAGACAACATTATTTCCTTATATTTGGAACAGTCAAAATCCTCTCTACTAGTTATTATGAAATATTAAATTACTTGTCACCAACCATAGTCATTTGCTGTATGTACTACAGAACACTAGAAATGATTCTTCCCATCCAACTTCTCTCCTGTACCCATTAACCATCCCCTCCCTATACTCCCTTCCACGACTCTCCCCAGGCTCTGGAAACCATTGTTCTATTTTCTCCTTCTTGAGATCTACAACTTTAGCTTCTATATATGAGTGGGAACATGCAGTGTTTGCCTTTCTGTGCCTGATTATTTCATTTAATGTCTTCCAGTTCTACCCATGCTGTGGCAAATGTAACATTTTTAAAAAGAGAAAATAGATCCCATACAAGGAGTGGTGTGAGCGTCCTCAATATCACTACTAGAAGCTAGAAGAAAAAGCACAATGTCTTCTAAATTGTAGTGGAAAATTAATATCAACCTAAAATTTTGTTTTCAAATTCTCAGTAAAATTGTGAGCATAAAAATAAAGAATTTCAGTTGGGAAAGCTGACAGAAAAGTTACCTTCCATGTACTTTTTCTCAGAAATCTTCAGGAGAATGTGCTTCAGTGAAAGGAAGGAATATAAAGGAAGAATGCAACATAAATCAGTGGTAGGTTTATAGAAGACCAAACCATTTTGAAACAAAAACACAGATAGTATTAATTTAGGATAAGCCACGAGTGAACCTTTCCATCTAAAAAATGAACTATAGCATAGTTCAAATCAGCTGTAAGTAGGAGTTTTATGGTTATAGTAACAAACAGAGATCACTGATTTGGCGCAGCATCGTGATATAATTTTATTCAATAAGTGGAGGGAGATTTTGGGGAAGGTAATATAAGATAATAAATCCTCATCATCTACAAGCTATCAATAGATTGACCTTAAAAAGTGAAGAAATAGTGTAAATGTGGAGAAGAAAGAAATAGCTTGAACAATTTAAATTGAGAGAAGAACCAAGAGATGGAAGGAGAAGGGATAGAGATGAAAAAAATTAAGATGTTACATACATGTACCAATTCTTAATGAATGTGATCAGTATGTACTGCAAACCTGTACTAACAAAAGAATGTTTTAAAAGATAGTAAAATGGGAGTGCCTGTATAAGGCTCAAATAAATACTGAGAGAAGGAGTTACAAGGTATGAGGCAGGTTGTTGCTGCTTCTGTTTATAAGGACTGCAGTACTTGTCTTTTTCAACTGTTTCTATGTTATGTCTTCAGAAAAATATAATTGAAGAAAAACTGTAAAATAAGAGACAAAAAATGGCACCCAAAAATCACTTTTAACTCTAAAACTTTAATCACTGGAAGTGTTTTTTTTAATAAGATGAAGCACACATCAGTAACCATTACTACTATTTTTTTAATTCACAATTTCCCCATGAGTAAAATTACCTGTAATTTAGTAAAAAGTACATGCAAAGCTTCCTTCCCAAAAGCCAGAATGTACAGACCAAATGTTTTCATTTCATCAGTTTATATAAATTATACCATTGTAACGTGCAATTTTTCAGGAACACACATAAAGTAACTTTGATCTGTTATGGAAGCAAGGATTTTTTAAAAAAATCTTTTAAGAGCTAGTAATTATGGAATTAAGGGTCTGAAATGAAAGAACAGACATACATAGTTTGTGAGAGAAATTACCTGAAGAAAGTCACGAAGAACTGCACCAGGTCCATAAAATTGCTGTGTTGGGAGAAGGCAATCTGTGGCAGAGAAACAGGTGTCGGGTTATTTAGGTTACAAAATGCACTGCTGACTCAGCCTGCTTGTTTCAAGACAAGCTAAAGGACAGATTTTAGCCAGGCATGGTAGCACGCTCAGGGAGGCTGAGGCAGGAGGATTACAAATTTGAGCCCATCCTAGGCAATTCAATGACTTAGTGATACCCTGTCTCTAAATAAATAAATAAATAAATAAATAAATAAATAAATAAATAAATAAATAAATATAAATAAATAAATAAATAAATAAAAGGACAGACCTTACATTTTAACGACATTGATTTTACTCACAGCAAAGTGCCTTAGTTTCTTTTCTTGTCTCATTGTCAACCCAAAAGTATAACAGTCCTAGGTTTCTACACCACATCCTACACCCGCCATCTACAGACCCCACGTTCATGCACTGAAACCCTGATAGCTGACAGTGTCGGTCAATCTGCCCACTTCCACCCTATGTGTCCCTTGGACACAGTGCTCCCCTCTTTTGTTCCAAATACCAACTCCTGGATCTACCTCAAGGCAGGAAGCCTCATTTTATGGCCTTCAGTGCTTCAACATGTGTGTAATCACAAGATAGTGCCCTATTTTTTAAGAAAATGTGTTTCAGGTTTTGCCAGATTGATTATATCTGATAATGTTATCAGTTCAAACTTAAATAATTTTACTGGTTATTTTAATAGTCTTCATACGAAAAATATAAAAGATGACTAAAAGCAGTAAAATCAATGGCTGTGAGATACATAATATTTCAAAGGCACTAGCATATGAAGAAATGTGTACCTCAGAACTGATTAAATAATATGATGACTGTAGCCTTGTTAACATTTACAATATAACCACTACTGGCCAAATGGATTGGTGCTTTTTTAGGGGATGCAGCCCTTGTTGGAGTAATAATGGTATATGCTGAGTATTCCTTACCCAAAATGCTTCGGTCTAGAAGTGTTTCAGATTTCACCATTTTTTGTATTTGGAAATATTTACCTAGACTCTACTGGATGAGCACCTGTAATCTGAAAAGCTCTCAAATCTCAAACTTGTTAAAATAAATTTTGGATTTTCAGATTAGGGATTAATGATACAACTACTGAATAAGATGATAATTGTTCTACCACAGACAATAAATATGACAAGAATTAGGAATATTCATGTTTAGCAACTTAATTAGCACCTTTTTTTATTGTGTGGGTGCTGGGGATTAAATCAAGCATGAATGTCCAGCAAATGTTCTACCACTGGGCCACACCACCAGCCTTTTATTCTCTTGTCACAGCAACAATGAGGCAAAAGGGACACTTCTGCTGTTTCCATTTTCCTTCTGTTTTCGGAGTCAGGGTCTCACTCTGTATATAGCTCAGGCTATCCTTGACCTTACTATGTAGCCAAGGTTGCCACCTTGAACTCACAGCAATCCTCCAGCTTCAGCCTCCTGAGTTCTGGTATTACAGGCATGTGCCACTACACCCAGATTTCCTGTTTGCATTTTAATGTTCTTTTTTCTTTTCTTTTCTCTTCTTCTCTCTTTCTTTCTTTTTTTTTAGATATGTAGTCCTATTATGTAGTCCATATCAACCTGAACTTTTTATGAATTGGGCTCTAACTTTCAATCTCAATCCTTCTGAGACTGTCTCAGCCTTCCCAGTTCTGAGATTATAGGCAAGGGCCAACATTCCTGGCTCTTAGTTTTTGACATTGCATAAATAAAGTTCCAATACTTCCTATTTAGGCTTTAAGACAGTCTCAGGTATTGAATCTGAAGTTTTTTGCATTTTTGAGACAGGATCTATGTAGTTCAGACTGGCCTTGAACACACTATGTAGCCTAAACTGGCCTTGAACTTGTGATCCTCTTGCCGCTGCCTCCCAAGTGCTGGGATTATAGGTGTGCGCCATCATGCTTGGCTCTAGAATTTGAAGTTTTATGCCCTCCCTCTAGCTGTCATTTACATCAGAAATAAAAGTAACTCCAATATCCTGTAATGCACAAGCAAAGATCCACTTTCTTTTCCTTCATTTTTACAGTAACCAGTATGAAACAGCAAGGTACTTGGAGAGAACAAAACCTGTAGAACATGGGCCATATTCCTCACATACAAATTTTTAAAAAAGATGTAAAGACAGTTATGTAAATAAGGTTAATCAGTCCTAGGTTATGAAGGTGCTAGGATTATAGGCTTGCACCACCATGCCTGGCTGGGAGTTACTTTATTATCATGAAGGTTTTTATTATTATTTCTTATTATTATTACTATTGTATTATTATTATTTGCAATGCTAGGGACTTTGAGCCCAGGGCTTCACAAATGCTGGGCAAGTGCTCTATTACCGAACTACATCTCTAGCTCATTATTTCTCGATCTATACTTTCTAGGCACCCTTTACTGACTTCCTACTATAAGGTAAGGTGATTTAGGCCAACTCCTCTCTTCCTACAATAGGGTTATGTCACTGCTTCGTGCCTCTATTAGTTTCTGTGTTGTTATTCTGAGGGTGATGCCAACTCCTCTCTTCCTACAATAGGGTTATGTCACTGCTTCGTGCCTCTATTAGTTTCTGTGTTGTTATTCTGAGGGTGATGCCAACTCCTCTCTTCCTACAATAGGGTTATGTCACTGCTTCGTGCCTCTATTAGTTTCTGTGTTGTTATTCTGAGGGTGATGCTGACAGAAAGATGCCAACAGATAGGAAATGGACACAATACCCGAGGATACAGGGAGAAGATGTGCCTGTTTCCACAAAGAGATGCAGGAGCAGAAGACAATGCAGCTGTGGTCCACCGAGGCGCCTTGTGGCCCCCAGGGAGAAGCCCTTGGGGTGTTAATGAGTGGCAGAGGGAGGTAAAAGCAGGAGGCTTCCTTTTACCACTCTCTAGGGGGGTGGGCAGGCTGAAGGAAAGGGCCTTTGTGCCTGCTCTCTGGATGTTCTACAGACTGCCCACTAGCAGGCAATAAAACCTGAGTGTAAAACCCTAGAACAGTGCTGTTTGCCTCCAGTACAGGAAAACAGAAAGGTCAGTCCCAGGATTCACGGGGAACTCATAAACTGAGTCGCAAGACCTCAGCTGGAGCAGCCCAGCAGTGGCAAATTACCGATATCATCTTTAGGAGGCAAAATAATATACTATACTACTCTCACACCCTTATTTGTTTTTCCATTTTCTGTCCCCTGTATTATCTTTTTTCATTTTTCAATACAGAAAATTTTAAATTAGAAAGAGTAGAAAGACTAGAATAATGAGCCCCAAACAACTCATCACTCACTTTTAATATTTATCAGCTCACAGCCAATCTTGTTTCATCCATATTCCACCCACTTCTGCCATGATTGTGTATTTGGGAGCAAATCCCAGGCTTCCCATTGCTTCACTCTGACCTTTTTTAAATATAGATAGTGTCTTTTAACTATCCTCTTTGTAAATTAGGACATTTGGGTCCTCATCTCTCCTTTTTCTTCTACTTCCTACTTCTTTAGACAAAATTCCAAACTAGAACAATTCAACTCTCTTAGCTAACACTGTGTAGACTGGGCAGGCACATTTTTACTCTCCATCCTCAGCTAGTCCCTAGCACTGGTTAGCAGTTATTCTGACATCAGCAGAAAAAACCGCCAGCATCTCTATAAAACATACACATATTGCAAAAAAGAACAAAGTTTAGATACCTACCCTAAAGCTCTTGTACCAACAAAATGTATCTCTCAGGCACAACTTTACAGTATCTTTACAACAAATTCTCTATGCCGTGATGTGTTTCTGAGGATGCAGAAACATAAAATACAGTCCCCTTACTAGTAAGGAAATGTTTCTGAGTCTAAGCTGTGGGACACAGGATGGTGAAGTCACTATGGGAGCTGCCTGAGGGGCATCAGGGAGACCCTTTTTCTGTGTTTCTACTTAAGAATTCTGTCTCGACTTCCTGATTCCAGTCTGGCTCCTTCCAAGCCACACTTCCAACCATTACCACAGAGATCTCTCTAAAACATGACCTCTGGTTCCTTCTTAGCTTAAAACATTTCAGTGACTCCCAGTCATTTTCAGACTATGGTTCACACCCCTCAGCTGATCCATTCTCCTCATGACAGCTCTGCCAGCTCTCAGCTCCTTGCTCACAACTACCATCAGTTCTGCTAAACTCCTGGCAGGTTCTGAAAGCAACTGGTCACTCTCTCCCCACTCTGAACATCTCTACTCTCTCTCCCCACTGTTAACACTGTACTTTCTCTCCTCACAGTAAACAGCCCCACCTTACTGCCTCATGTTCCTTAGGATTCAGCTGTGGTGTGGCTGCTCCTCACTTAGATTCAGGGGAACAAATCTATTTCCTCTCACAGTTCCCAGGAACACAGGGGCACATACTAATACCAATATCAACAGACTACACTTGTGGCTGCTGCTCCGGGCCAGAAACGGTACACAGCGTGGAGTATGTGAGATTGAGGGAAGTCTGGCTGGTTCCTAGCTATGGCAATCACAGAAGGGAGGTCTGCTAGAGATGAAGATTTATGCATTCTAGCCAGGGGCAGTGTGCAGATGGCGAGGAACATCGAAGACAGGGTTCAGACAAAATCCAAAGGAACAATGACATTAAAGAGCTTAGAAGAATTAGCTAAAAGTGAAAGCAGGATGACCTTCAAGAAGGATAATAAATTTTTCTTGATGATGAAAAATACAAGGCAAGATAAGTACCTTATATAGTTTGAAACAAAGAAAGACATACCATTTGGTTTTAAATATATTTCAATGCTTTACAATTTAAAAAAATCTTAGGTTCAGCTATTTAATACCAGGAGTTATATATGTGTACATGATTGTATATAAACATTAAAATAGGAATATAGTAAATATAAACATAAAAGTATATCTTGGAGCTTGGGGTTAGCTTAGTGGTACAGTGCTTGCCTAATAAACATGAGGCCCTGGTTTCAATCTACAGCAACACACACACACACACACACACACACACACAATAAATAAATAAATGTACA